AGGCGGTTCTCACAGCCGTGCACACCCATGCTCACGCCTGGAGCTCACAAGAAGATTACACGAGGGCCGGTGTGGCGGCACGGGCGGGGAAAAACTCTGGGGGCAGAAATGCTCCAACTCGTGCAAGCTGCTGGGGACCCTCCACGGCTGCCCGCGGCACCGCTCACCGAATGCACCTGGGCGGAATTAACGAACCCAATGCATCCGGCAAAGTACACGATGATTGGCGAAACCGACGGGGGGACTGTACCAGCTCGCTGCGAATGCCACTGTCGAGCGAACTAGTGCAGAATTCCTCTCAAGGGGCTCAGGGGCACACAAACAAAGAGACACGCATCCCAGGATACCTCATATCTGTTCACATGTTCTGGAGTCTCGTCTTCCCCACCACTTCCCATATGTTCCCAGATGGCGGATTTTCGGAAACCCTGAACCCAAAAGCGTTTTAATCTCGTGGGGGCGCAGCTTTTAATTACTTCCGCCACCTTCCGCCGCCCCTCCGCCAACTTCCGCTGGCGGAGGCGGTCTCGTTTTACTCCCACCGACCTTCCGCCGCCTTCCGCCGCGCAAGCGATGTCCAACTCCTTCGATCCTCGAAGGCAAGGCCCTGTCTGGAACGCCGCAGATTGTTTCTGGTGATATACGGATATACGGTTCGTTCTGTCTGTGTGCTTTTATTTGGTCGGGCATGTCCCCCTACAGGCGGATTCTGGATGAAAAATTCGCCGGCCCACAGGGCCAGAGGCGTGCTAAGATCTCCAGTAACTGGTTAACAGTATATAGGGTCCAGGGCTTGGCCCCCCCCCCAATGCTGATGCCATTGGGCCCCCCCCCGCGCGATGGTCCCCCCCGCCCCCCCCTGTGGGCGCGGCGTGGTGCTGCGCTGCGGTGCCCCCCTCCCCCCCGTGGATGTGGTGTGGTGCTGTGGTGGTTCAGAGGTCGTCGTCGTCGTCGTCGTCGTCCTCGTCGTCCTCGTCGTCCTCGTCGTCGTCGTCGTCGTCATCGTCGTCGTCGTCGTCATCGTCGTCGCCGTCGTCATCGTCGTCATCGTCGTCGTCGCCGCCGCCGCCGCCGGCGTCGTCGCCGCCGCAGCCGTCGTCGTCGTCGTCGTGGTCGTCGTCGTCGTCGCCGTCGTCGTAGTTGCCGCCGTCGTCGTCGTCGCCGCCGTCGTCGTCGTCGTCGTCGTCGTCTCTGGGACCATACCATCCGGGGGGGGGGGGGCCCGAGGAATCCTGGGACCATACCATCTGGGGGGGGGGCCCGTGAACCCTCGACCCTGGATCATATATTATGATTCGCGCGCGCGGGGCGGCTTCTGGGGGCTGCCGGACTAAAAGTACCCCGAGCAGGTCCCGGCCAGTTCGGCTCAGAGATGGTTTTCCTCCTCGGCGCTGCTTTCCAGGCCTCCCAGAGCGCTCCAGGAACGCGCCAAGAAGGCTCCGAGACGCCCCCGAGACGGTCCAAGGGGCCCCGAGTCGCCGAAAGATTGCTCCAAGACGCCCATGCGGCCCTAGACGCCGCCGAGAAGCTCCAAGAGAGCCCCAAGAGGTCCTCTAAGAGGGCCCCAAGAAGCAAAAATCGTCCCATTTCAATCGGAAAACTTACATGTCTGGCATAGACGACGTTCGGAGGTTCACAGCGTCCAAGACTGGCCAAGAACCCCCCAAGATCTCCGCCCCAAGATGGCCCAACATGCCCCCGAGATGCGCCCAAGAAGGCCCAAGAGGACTCCAAGACGACCCAAGAAGGCTGCCTTCCAAGCCTCCCAGAACGCTCCAGGAACGCGCCAAGAAGGCCCCGAGCCGTCCCCGAGACGATCCAAGGGGCCCCGAGTCGCCGAAAGATTGCTCCAAGACGCCCATGTTGGTCTCCAGACGGCCCTAGACGCCGCCGAGAAGCTCCAAGAGAGCCTCAAGAGGTCCTCCAAGGGGGCCCCGAGATGCGCCCAAGAAGGCCCAAGAGGACTCCAAGACGACCCAAGAGGGCTGCTTCCCAGGCCTCCCAGAGCGCTCCAGGAACGCGCCAAGAAGGCCCCGAGCCGTCCCCGAGACGATCAAAGGGGCCCCAAGTCGCCGAAAGATTGCTCCAAGACGCCCATGTTGGTCTCCAGACGGCCCTAGACGCCGCCGAGAAGCCAGAGGAGGGCCTCGAGAGGCCCTCCAAGGGGACCCCACCAAGCCAAAATCGTCCCATTTCAATCGGAAAACTTACATGTCTGGCATAAACGACGTCCGGAGGTTCACAGCGTCCAAGACTGGCCAAGAGCCCCCCAAGATGGCCCAACATGCCCCCGAGATGCGCCCAAGAAGGCCCAGGAGGGCTCCGAGACGGCCCAAGGAGGCTGCAAGACGGCCCAAGACGCCCCCAGGGAGGGAGCTCGACACGACATCTGAAGCTCTCTTCGACCCCGGGGGCCCCTCTGAGACCGCCAGCAGGCTCCCAAGAGGCACCCAGAAGTTCCAAGAAGCCCCCGAGAGGCCCCAAATCAGGCTCCCGAGGCACCTACAGTCGGGGCGTGGACCTCAGGGACCCTAAAGAAGGAACGAGGCCCCTTTTTTTTCCATGGGTTAAACTTCGACTTCCCGTCGAAAACATAAGGAAAACCTGAGGCAAGCTGTGAAACACTTGAGGAACGCGGAGCCCCTCCCCAACCAAAAGGGTTCCTTCTCCAGCGCCCCGACTGTAAACGGCCCTGACGAGGCCTCAAGAAGCTTCACAACTACCTCCAAAAGGCTTCCGCGACACCTGCCAGGAGACCCCAACACCGCCGCATCAAATGTCCCCTGCGCCCCATCGACAAGCCCCAGAGTGAGCATCCACGACCAGCAAACCCCCGCGAAGGCACCCGATGTCCAACAAAGCACCACACAGCTAGCCGCCCCGTGAAAAGCGACTGATTCCCCTGACAACTCCCAAGAAATCCAAACGAATCGCTCCAACATCATGCCCCACGCAACGCCTCAGAAGACAGCCGACGCCCATGCAGCTCCACACCGCCGACGACCACTCGGCCAGTCGACGCAGCAGTACCCAAAAAAGGGCCAGCGGAGTGAGCGAAGCGATTGAATAAAAAACGACCAAAGGATTCCCAAAAATGGCAACAAAAAAAAAGCACCAGACTATGTTTTGACTGTTTTTGAATGTTCCTCCTGTAGAGGGACAGGCCCGACTCAATGCTTTTTTTCTTCTCCTTCCTGCTCCTCGGCCGACTTGCTTGTGTGGGGGTCCTCTCGGTGCCCGGTCCTCCCTGGCGCCCGGTGCGGGAGCAGCAGCCGCTCCAGGGGTGGGTTGAAGGTCGATCGCCGAAGGGGGGGGGAGGACGGGGCATGCAGGCCTCGGACAAAACATGGCGAACACTCATGCCCCATGCTTCTGTCAACGCCTCCCCATCCCCCCAGTGTTCAAAGTTGGCGGTGGGCCTGCTGAGTTGCACCTCGACCGCAGTCTCCCCCGCGCGTGCCAGCTTTGAGTGCGGGGGGGAGCGGGAGTAAAGATGCGCCACAATCGGGGAACGGAGAATGACATCAGCATAAAAACTCAGAGGTCCGCGCGGACTTCTCGGATCCGCGCTGGGGTCCCCTGGTGGCGCCTCTGGCGCCGCCCCTGGCGCGCTCCGCACGCCAGGGAGGGCGGTCCAGCGCCGATCCGAGAAATCCGCGCGGACCTCCGAGTTCTGTGTTTATGTAATTCTTCGTTCCCCTAATACAGTCGACGCGTATCAGAAGGATGCGCGATAAGGATGCGAGGGCCCTGGAAGCCCACTTCGGAACTTTTCGAGCGGGGCGCGGCAAACGAAAGCGGCCAAGGATGGACCGAGGAGGCTAGGATGCAAGGCTACCATTGGGTGCCCGTCCTTACTATGCGGGTCGACTGTGCAGCGGGAGCTCGACCACAAGAGACCTCCCACAAGAAGCCCAACCCTGAGACCCTGGGGCGTCCATGGATGTTTGTTGTGGGAACGTCACGCTCTCTCTCTCTCCATAGCAGAACCATCCAAACCCCGAAAAAACCCAGGGCACCGTGGAGGCAAGCAGGGTGTTTCTTGGCTTGGGTCTCCGCTGCACTTCGGCCACCCGCTTGCCATCGCTCGGGCGTCCGTTCCCCGTGCATGACTCGGCTTCGCGGGCTTATGCTCCGCAAGATGAGCCATGATGCACCTCGATGCTCATCGCCGAGAAACATGCCAACGTCCGAGCGATGCCAAGCCCGCGGGCGCGAGGCGAGCCCATCCGCAGCCCGCCTCCAAACGGCTGCAAGTGGCCGAGATTCGAGGATCGAGGATCGAAGCTTGGGCGTGGTCTGCCTCTTTTAAAGCTCGGGAGGCATCGGGAGGCCCTGGGGCGCGGGGGCCACGGGGAAATTCCCGAAGACACCTGAGGCCCCGGAGAGGATGGGGTAGACGCCACGACGACCGTCGCTTGCGCCTCTCTATCGAGCAGAAACGATCGCAACAACGAGCTGGCCGTAACAAGATCGGGCGGACGACTCGTCCCTCTCGGGAATCTCTGCTACGCGGAGCTGCCCGCCAATCAAGCGAATGCAGCCAGGATGTGGAAGTGCTGCTCACATGCGATCTACCCCCGCCACCTCGACGGACTACGGCGCGCTGGCGTCGGGACGATGTGGGAGCTGATTTCTGACACTTCGCAGATCGCTCTAGTTTTAGGTCGGGCGACTCCTCCTACAAGCGGATTTTCGACGGAACACTGGACAGGTATTCAACAAATGCTCAAGAATGCCCAAAAATATTCAAAACAAAACAACATCCCTGAGCATTTCTTCATGATGTTTGAATACTCTTCCTGTAGAGGTACAGACCCAGTCGCACCCTCCAAAAGCGCGGATCGCCTGAAGGCTGACCGAATTCAGGCGGCTGATGGGATCCGATATTGAACGCCGGTGCTGGCGTCGCCGCCGCGTCAGCGCGGCGCAAATCTGTCATAAGACACGGGGCGAAAAGCGGGTCCCGAGCGTATCCCTGCATCCCCACCCACTGGCGCCTTTCGGGATTTTGGCGGTGATGCGGGTGAACGCCGTCTGGAGGCAGCTTTGAAATCGGCGCGCCCGAGGACCGCAACGACAATGCCAGCTGTACTCATCCCGCCTCCTCCTCCCCTGTGGCGTTGTGCAAACATGGATTGCAAGTTGTTGTGTTCTTGCCTTCTCCTCCTGCTCCTTTTCAGCTTCCTCCTCCCCCTCCTCCGCATCCTCCTTTTTCCTCCTCCTCCCCCTTCGGAATTCTCCCCCTCCTCCTCATCATCATCAGCTTCATCAGCATCCTCATCATCAAAATCAGCATCCCCTCCTCTGTTGCCTGCTCCTCCTCCTCATCCGCCTCATGGCTCTCCTCCTCCTCCTCCACCACGTAAGCCTCCTCTCTCCCTCTCCCGCTTATACTCTTTGCCACCCGCGCTCCCGAACGTTATCCTCCATCCCTCCCTCCTACATTCCGATCACTACCACCCTCCCCGTGCCCCCATCGAACCACTCTCGCCCTTTTGCTCCAGCACCCGTTTCCCCCCCCTCCTCCTCGCTCCGTCACAACCCCCCTTTTCCGACTCATCCCTCTTCCCATTCCCCTTCCCACCCCTCCCTGTCCCTCCGCTTCTCGTCCTCTTTCATGTTCATCCCTCTGGACAAGAAAAGCGATCCCAACCTGCATCGGGGAAGCCTTCATCCCGCCGGCCGACCTACCCCTCCCAGGTAAGGATATAAGCGCAATCTCCTTTGGGTTTGCGGCGACCGTCCGCACCTAGAAGGGGGTGCGCTGAGAGAGCCGATATGCCCTGCCTCAGTGGGGGTGAGGATGGTTCTGACGATGGCCGCATCCCTCCTCCACGCACCCCTTCCTCCCCTCCCATCTTCTCCCGTCCCCCCACGTCTCCTCCTCCCTCCCTGCGTCGCCCTCCTTCCTACCCGCCATTGTGGTTCAATCTCGAAACGCGCGCCCTGGCGTTTCGAGCTCATCCGCGGCCAGGGGGCGCGGCTCAGAGACCGCGCGCGGACGACAGGCGCCCGCAGCTGCCTGCTCCCGATGGCGCACCGCTCAGCCACCCGCGGGAATCTTACCGTTTTAGACCGATGTCTCGCTACGCGTGCTGCAGCATGCTGTTTTTGTTTTGCGACGCGCGCGCCGAGCGAGCGGTCAAGCGCCTCGGCGGTGCCGTGCCCACCTCAGGCGCGTGCAACTAACTGGGGGTGGATGGGGGGGCACACACGACCCGCACAGGGGAGTGCAGGACTGCGCGCGTGGCGGGCAGCTGCCTCTGCGAGCGTCATTGGCAGCACACCGCATGACGGGGCGGTGCCACCCCGGGCCCAGGCAGTACGGCTACGCGTGCTGCAGCAAGCGGGGATGCACTGGTTGGGCGTGGGCCAACCGAGCAGGTGTGAGCAGTCAGTGCGGATCGAGGTTCCAGAGGCAGTCCAGTGGGATAGACGAGTCCTACGATGAGGAGGGGCATGGCAAGTCCGACAGTTTCAAGCCTGGCAGTTGGAGGCGTATTCGGTCCCGTCAGCCCTCCATCTCAAAGGCAGATGGTCATGTCCAGCGGCAGCTAGAACCAGCGGAAGATGGACCTCCTGATCCACTGTCCCAAGCCCAGGCCCAAGTACCACTTTGGTAAAAATGGGCGCGCGTCCAGGGCAAGGAATAGATCGGCGCAGTGGAATACCTCAAGCAGGCGAAACATGCGCCGAGCGGGGCAGAAGCTTGGACCGACAAATTCAGTCCCTCAGTGGCCAGGTGCAGTCCGTCAAAGCCAAGATCGCCACCAACGAGGTGGACATCCAGGCCGTCGAGGAGCAGATCGCCAGCCTGGCGGACCAGTGCAGCGCCGGGAAAAGCCCAGCGAGCTGCAAGAGAATCGCGTGGCACTCCAGCGGCTCGAGGCTAAGATGGCCACGGCGCGCAGCCCAAGAAGCAGCGGAGGCCACTGATGTCACCCAGATGCTCTACGCGGCCCTTCAAGCGAAAGTGTCGCCACAAGGTGGAATCGCACCAAAAGCTCGGTCCAAAAGGGTGCAGGGAGAAACTGTTCCACCAGTTGCAGGAACAGCACGAGCGTGCCACCGCCCGATGCCAACCGGTCCAAGGTCCAAGACGCACCAGCCCCCGTTGCCAGGAGTCCAGGACCGCAGGGCGGCAGCTGCGGCGGCCGCTGCCAAAAAGGTCAGGAGCAGAGGGTAAGGCAGCGCCAGCAAGGACGAGGACGAGGACGAGGATATGCCCCACGCTTTAGGCGGGTTCAGGCGCGTGGCGGAGGAGCTAGAAGAGGTGTCCAACCTTCGGCGGCGAGCCCGGGGGGAAGTGAGAAGGGCCGGGCCTTCAAGTCCTTCAGCCTTCTGGGAAGTTGTCTAAGCCTTCCCCGAAGAAACATGAAAATTCTCAGAAGGCGCGAGGGCTTCCAAGAAGCCCCGCCGCCTTCTCCTTCTCACTTCGCCTGTCCATCTCCTCGATATTGGTCTGCAGCTCCTTCCACGAAGCCAGCTGCTCCAATTCCTGCTGGAGGCAGCTCTCGAACTGCTTCTTCTCGCTCTTGGCCGCGTACTGCTCCCCGGAAAGGTCCGAACGCAGCTCTTTCTCCTTTTTGGCGTCCTCGATGGTCTTGCGGTTGCGAGCCCGCCCGCTCCATGAGGACCGAGGGGTTGATGAGCTTCACCTTGCGGCCATGGGCACCAGTTTCCGCCATCTGCGCACACAACAAGGTGCACTGTCCGAAAAGCCGCGTGTAAGCCCTCGCAGAAATTGCAAACCTGGAATCCGAGCTGCTCCGAGAGGAAGCAGGCGTTGATGCGGACCACCAGCTGCTGCATCCGTTCACGGCATGGCCCGCGACGGCTGCGCGGCTCCGAAGCGCGCCGCCCGTCTCCACCCGCCATCGGGGGCGGAGCCGCTAGCAGGAGGAAGGAGGAGGAGGAGGAAGAGGAGGAGGACGGAGGAGTGAGGAGGAAGGAGGGAGAAGGGAAGAGGGAAGAGGGAGGAGGGAGGAGGGAGGGCAGAGGGA